TGGGTTTTGGTGCGACGGACGCAATGGTGTTTTCCCGGGGGAGAGTAAAGAAAACCCCGGGGACTGCTCTCTGCGTTTGCCTTACCTGGTGGCAGGCGGGAGGGACTCCGCCACCCCTGGGCGTGAGGCGGCCGACCGCTGAGCTGCTCTTTTTTTCGTTACGTGCTTTGTGATACGAAAATGTTCCCTGAAAATCCAAATGAGACATTTCAGGGCATGTTCACGGCTTGGGATGAGATCAGGAGCAGGTCCATGTGTTGTTAAGGGCAATACACAAGCAAAGCCAGGTTTGGAAACCTCTCTTCAATCTCTTGTCGGATTCTTTTATTATTTTCCCCCCGTGGGGAAGTGTCTATAGGTGCATTTGCCACTTTCATGCACGGCCTACCCGAAAAGATTTTACAGTGTTTGAATATGACTGTGCCCAAACTGTTTTGCTGTGGTGTAGCTGAGGATGGGTCCTCTTGACCCCCTGTGTTCGGCTAGTCAGTGAACAGGACTGTTTGTTGGCAACAGCTGTGCTCAGAGACAGAGTAACCGGCCAGGGAGAGGGGTGAAGATTTCACACATTTACCTAATGTATTCTGAGAGACAATGACAATGCCATAGAATAAAGAAATCCCACATCTTCAAGGAAACTTCAAGAATTAATGTTAAGGCTTTGGGCACTCAGCTTTGACCTGGCTGTTTATCTTTGAACAACAAAATCTTAAGCACAAAACCAAAGAGTGAATCTCTAAGTAGAGCACCTAGCATAAGCCCTTAGTTTCTGATCATAGGAATGCATTGTCGAGACGATGAATTAGTTAATCCTGAAAGAGGAAGATTTTTTTTCCTTTCTTAATTTACATTTTTAAAAACATGTTTGTTTGTTTTCCTGCTCAGCTCCCCACGCCTTGTAAATTGTGAATTTCTCTTTTGGCTATGTGTGATAAGGAAATTGGTTTCATTCTACAAGTGGGTTAATTGTCCTGTAGCTTAAAAATACCAAAGTGCAAACGCCTTAATTTCTAAAGAGGTTGATCTTAAAATAATTACAATGATCTGACTGTTGCAGCTCTCTAATTTCATAAACTGAATTGTGGGTTTAAAGTGACGCTTGCTGTGGTCGTCTCACCCTAAAATGAACAACAGGGTGAAAAATTAAGTTTTGAGGGAGAAATTGGCTGGCGATTACGTTAAATTGTTACTGGTTTGGGAGGATGAGGATCTCAATACTGTGATTAAAACCCCAAATCTGCTACTGTTCGGAGTTAGGTAAAATATACATGAAAAGGAGCACTTTAGGGACCGAGGCGTGCTGATTAGGGGTGATGAAATATGTTACTTCTGGGCTGTCAGGGTTAAACGTTCATTGCACGAAGCTGGAACAAACCCTGGGCTCTGGGCGTTGAGACAGTAGCGAGGTCTGGCGGCAGGAGGCACAGCCGGGGTGTGTGTGCTGCATGGAGAGATTTCCTTAATCTCTGCTGGGCTGGGGGGGGATGGTGAGGAGCAGTAGATCAGCACAGTCCAGAAATCCCCCCCTCCTCAACCCTTCTTGTCTTCCGATTGCATTGATCCTCTGAGAGGGTGCACTGCTGCTTGGGCAGGGCAGCTTCTGTATTAAGAGATCAGAGCTGGCTTTCTCCCAGCCTACGTGAATGGATTTGGTGTCAAGGGCAAGGAAAGGCAGCTCCGGCTGCCCTAGAGCACCACCCGCCCACCTGTTTGCTGGTGAAGGTGTTATTGGCCCCAGGTGTGGCTCCTGCCTCTCTCTCAAGGAGTCCCGAGAGCACAGAAACCCTAAACATGCTCCCTCAGGCCCAAAGTGTAGTGCCTGCCAGAGAGCTGGACTTACCCAAAGTGTCAGTGAAGTTTCCTTCGTTCCTATTGCAAGTGATTCTCTTCAATTCATATGTGGGACTCAAAACTTAACTTCCCATTTCAGGCAAGTTTGTAAGTGAGCTTAAATTAGAATGTCATCTGATAAGGCGCAGTTCCTGCATCTACTGTCTTATGCCAACTACACAGATCTAACAAACAGTGATAGTTATAGTGGATTTATAGGGTACGGTAAGCATCCCTTGATTAAGTAAGGGATATTGCATAGCATCTGAGGGCAAAAAGAAAGAAGAAATAAACTGTTACTGGCTTTCAGGAATTTAGACTCCTATTTCAAACTTAATTTAATTCTTATGGAAAAAAGAGTCCCTTTAGGAGCAGCCAAAGTTTAATCAGTAACACAACAGTGATTTAGCTCAATTCTCAGTATCTTAGTCATACAGAGAAGCTGCTGCAACTGATTAGAAACCCTATTTCATTGAAATATTGCATGGAAGCATGAAAGTTCCAGTGTGGAAAGGCAACAGTCACTTCATCATTCTAGATCCCATGTTAACGCATCACCAACTCTCACATTCAAAGCCTTTTTAGAGAAATTTAATAGTTGGGGGACTAATAACCACCCACAACCCTTAATTCTGAGTGATTCTTCTAAACACAAGTTAACAGATCTAGGCCATTACTACTGAGAACTGAATCATCCATAGGCACGGGAGGGGGAAAAAAAAAAGAAAAAAGAGGCAATACCGCATGGGAACGTCTTAAGATTAACTGCTTTTGTACGTTTCCAAACACTGTCAATAGCATCCCCTCTGTCATAAATTCCTTTTCTAGTTCCTTTCACACTGTTTACAGGCAGATCACTTAGAAGTTTGGAATATACACTCAAATAAGATTTTCCAAGTTACAAGAATTATTATTCACTTCAGGTAATTTTATTCTTTATATTTTCTACATATTTTAACTTTTACTTGTTAAAAGTCATAACAGAACGTATAAGTATTTAAAAAATCCAACCAAAGCCACAACACAAATCAAAGCCAGCAAACAGTTGGTCCCCAAAGAATAAAGCAAGCAATCAGTTCAATAAACACACTTGATTTATTTTGTATAAAAAGGGTTAAGTTTACAACTAAACTTTTATAAAAAGTTTAGCATGATTAAGTACATCATTACACTTTTTGCAGAAATGTATATTTCTGCCACTATACAAGAAAACTC